AATGTATTTGAAAGGGACTAAAACAAATCATAACCTTGTAACAATTCTTCCAAATAATACAAAAGCAATCATACAGATCTCATGAGTTTGATTTGATTGTTTTCTTTATATCAGTTTCATCAAATTAAATAATATAAAAGAACTTTCAAGCAAGTAATTTTGTAAACAACTGACATCAGTTGATGATCAGAAAGAAACTTGTTGCTTCATCGTTATAGTAAATGGGATGATATTATCTGGACAATATAGCGCTATCATGTCATTTGTGATATTTCTATGATATCATAAACATAAGCAAATAGACATCACTATGCATACTTCATAAATAATCGTGTTTGCTTGTTGGAGTTTTTCGCCATTTTCACCCTTGACCTTTTCTATTTCATGGCGGCAATATTTGCATTGGAGGAGAAATCCGTAGTCCTGAGAGAGAGAACGATTGACCTACGGCAGAAAAACTAGCAATCCTTGTCAATTTAGATCGGAGTTGAATACACTTTGCCACGAGCAGTGTTCCAACTCTTAATTCACTACGTTGACAAGCTATTTATTACTGAATATATACTACTTTGACAATTCGAAAACAAAAAAACTCATTAAATACATAAGTGTGAGATTTTTACAGTGCAAACACCCGGAAATTACGCAGTTATCATCTTAAGATATATTTTGTTTTATAATAATACTTTCAAGAATAGTTAAATCCATGTAAGACACATTTTACCTGCGGCAGTTGGACATTTTGTTTCTTAAAATTTTTTTACTAATGTTATAAAAAATAAATTGGGACAACAATTGGCATTGAAGTCAACATAAGAAAGATATATCACTTTTTCAGTTTCATAATAAACAAATATACGAGCGACTTAAAATTAACATAATGTATACCTGATAGATCAAAGTTAGTATGCTTGTATAATCAGCGATGGAATATGGTTCAAATTAGATTTTCTCCATTATCAGAATAAATGTAAAGTTTAAGAATACTACATAGAAAACTAAAGACCGAGCAACAAGAACCCAACTTAAAACAGTAAGTGTTCTCAGGTTGTCAGGAAAGGTAATCAAATCCACATGTCCCACTCGTCATCTTGCTCATGGCAAGCACAAAGTCGGTTATAAGTCTAACTATAGAAGACATTTCAAATGCATTATCAGATTCGTGCTTTTCTATAATCAGTGGTATGAACAGGTAATTCGAAAGGTACATATCATTGCATCCCATTTGTTTCAGCATTGCTTGTATAAATCCATTACGCTATTTGATAGATCAATACACACTGATAATGGTATACTTGTAATTATATTAATAAGTTGTTGATGTGCTTCATTAACTGACTTTGTATACAAAAAAGGTACACGAACTATCTTACCTTCTTCATACATGAAATATCGTAGCCAATAAGCAGAAAATATACTGTTGTCTATCACAAGTGATGTATATTCGACAGCACATGTGTGTATAGCAGTAAGCCATGTCCCGTATCCAAATTCTCCTACAATATAGTATTGTTGGAATGATAACACATTTCCTACTTCCAGTGAATTAAACGATGATATTTGTTAACGGGAAAATATAATAACAAATATCGATTAATGCATAGTGATTTGATATATTTTACAATATGAATGCCCTTAGATTGATAGTTCATAACTGCAACAAACTGCATAATATTGAACTTTATTCTTTTTATTGTTAATAGCGGTAGAAGTTTTGTCTACTCTTTGTCATGAAAAACGTGTTTTTAAATTTAAATAAAAATTCAGAGTTAGAAAATCTACATGACCGATTGTTTACGAAATGGGAGATGTCTTAGGGTAAGATAAAATACGTCATTGCATGATACATAATCTCTTGATATAACTTAGCAACATATTTTATAGGAGTTACACGACGCATTGCACATATGAAGCATGATCTGCGAACCCTCCGGAGCACTTGAGAGCATCCCCGTTTTCTAAATTGGTGTGGCTTGTGAAGCTTAGTCTTTCGTTTTCTATGTTTTTCTTTGTTGACTGCTTTTTGTCTTTTGGTCGATTTTCGTTATTTGCCATGGCGTTGTCAGTTTGTTTTTGACTTATGAACTGTAATATCCCTTTGGTATCTTTTATCCAATAGAGTCATTTTAAAACGATCATAATTCTCGATTGTCATACGTTCTGACCAACAAATGCAGGGGATCATAAAGAGGTATGAGTGTATGATCCATTTTGATTAAAAACAAAGATATTGCCAAAATGAACATTTGGAAATGATATTTGAGTATTTTATTTCAGATTTGATTTTGATATATTGAAAATGTACAAGTAGAACAACTACGCAGGTTCATTTGATAGGAATGAAATGTTGCAACTACCTTGGACAAATTTCATAAGATAACTGGATGCTAGACAACCTGCGATAGTACTTGTTTGTTTTGTCGATATAAATGCATGTTTACATTTTTAATATTTCTTTTGTTAAAGGTTAATTATAACTAATTTTAAAATACTTGCCTCCTTTACAAGTAAACAACTTTGGAGAGGTGCAGTCATTTTTCGTGAACGTACCATTTCTTTTGGAAAGGCAATGATGTATTTGATGTTCTCTACACTCATTTTGTATAATCTTAGTACGCAAGTCTATGAATATATGGAATATAATATCAAGTTATAGTTCCGTATAAACTTAAAATTCGTCATTCTTTGAATAACAGTGACAAATAGTGAATTTGTAAAGGCAGAGAAACAGTTTGTCCGACTTGTGTTAAACATTGGGAAAAAGACTACATTTAAGCGCGGTCAAACCAGTACAAATTTAACTTTGAGCAGACTTTTTGACTGCTTTCAAAGTTAACTTCATATACTGAGAGCAGACAATTAAGTTAGCTTCATTGGTGGCAGACCATATCTAGGAATGCTTTGTAAGGATTGATCCACTCCTGTTGAGATGTCTACTCAAATCAAGACATGCTGTGTGCGTTGACCAGTCCTTATGACAGGTGTGTTCCAGACTAAATATGAGGACAGTGCTATTACCGGTCCTTATGACAGTTCTTTGGAAAAGATAACATTAGTCGGAGCTTGTCGTTTTGCTTAGAAAAAATTGAAAACAACACGTATAAATTTCATGCGACCGAAGCGCTTTTCTGGATTCACCTACATCCGAAACGCTCAAAGCCGAATATTTGAAAGTCATGGATGCATAAGACCAAAACAGTTAAAGAGCTATATAATAAAAAAGGAAAAAAAAAAAAAATAAAAGCCAAATCCATCTTACTTTGCCTGAGGGAGTTGAAACCTTAGTTCCTTTATAGTTTCAAGATTTATAAATAAATAAAAAGGCCAAATACAGTACGAAGTTGAAGAGCATTGAAGACCAAAATTCCTAAACGTTTTGCCAAATACAGCTAAGGTAATCTTCTCCTGAGGTAGAAAAGCCATAGAATTTCAAAATTTAAAAGTTTTGTAAACAGTTAATTTATAAATATGACCATATCAATGATAATTCATGTCAGCACAGAAGTGCTGACTACTGGGCTGGTGATACTCTCGGGGAATTAAAACTCCAACAGCAGTGGCATCGACCCAGTGGTTGTAAATAAACTCATCATAGATACCAGGATTAAATGTATACGAACAATTTTAGAAAAGAGTGCTATAAATCATGCAAGTACCGAAGAACCGACTACTGAGTTGTTGAATCCCTCGGGGACTGATAGTCCACCAGCAGAGGTATCGACCCAGTATATAAAAAATAAAAACAACACATTATAAATGTCATGCGCCCAAAGAGCTTTTCTGCGTAGCCTATATATGGTTATTTGTTCTGCAACGAATGACAAGTAAAGTTTAAGCAATCCAAACAATTGTTCTCAAACGTTTTTGATAAAATTTGTATAAGAAAATCCCTGTGACACGTACGGAAAACATATCATAAGAATCTTTCATTGCAAGATTTGCCATGTCTAAGGAGAGCAGAGTGCTTTTCTATTAACAATTGCTTTAGAAAAATAATATGTAGAAAATGGTAATGTAAAACAAATTTATCAAAAATTGATACTGTATTTTTGTTTTCAATTCGTTTTCAATATATTCATGCTGAAAATATTGTGTTGATTTTTATGAATAAATCTTCAAAGGGAAAGTACAAAACAACAAATAAATTGTACACAAAAAAATAATAAAAAATCCATTCTGATATGACGTCCTTATTACGCTTTGTAAACAAAGCTGTGTTCTAATTAGCACAAAATATGTTTGACACATGCGCACAAACTTACTGTTTACATTTTCGTTATTTTAATTTTTACCATAATAAAATATATACATTTTAGCTGCTTACATAAAATGTTATTATAAATTGTTATTCAATCAACATATATTTACCCTGCTATTAGTTTTTAAACTTATTAAATATGAAAATGTAATGTACATACTTCATGGGGAAGAAACGGGAACAGCCAAACTTTTTAAGGTATTTTCGCACGCTTCGACCTATAAAATTACTGCATTTGTCCTATTAGAATCGAAATAATTCCTTCATGTCATGCTCTATGCTCATTTTAACATGGGTAGGCATTATACATGTATTTGACCATATTTTACACCTCGCTTACGCTCAGTGTAAAATATCGACAAATATAATGCCTACCCATATTAAAATGAGCATAGAGTATGAAATGAAGGAATTATTTCTTAATTTAATTGAGAGAAAAAAAATCCATCTAATTTGGAAAGCCAGAAGTCAGGTGTAGAGGGATATCCAATGTATGGTTCACTAGTGTATTCTTTGAACTTCATTTGGCCTGTACAATTTTGAAGATTTTTGACTTATAACTAAGTGTTTATGACGTCGCCTGTCAGACTAGATTATTAGTTCTTAATCGAGTTATTTTGTAGCATTAAAACTGGCATACCTTTTTCAAATTTGAAGATTGGAAGTGAATTACGAGAAAAAGAATAAACTTTTTCAACATTGTCAATCTCAGGTAATCTCCAAAATATGCAAATTGGACTCTTTTCTACATGTGACGTCAATTCGTACTGATGAATACACTTGCAAATGTGTTTCTAAATTGACAAGGAAGAAAAGTTAATAAATGCATAACAAGAATAGATAAATGAATGAAATGATAAAATCTATTTTACCTGAAAAAATAATTAAAAGTTAATAGATTTTCCAACAGAACGTTAGGATACCAAATATTTATGCTTGATATTTGATATTAACTTATAAGAGGAGTAAATCAGAGGTTTTAAAAAGCACGTTTCGCTCACCTGGAATTTTTGCATGAAATTTGATGCAATGAAACGACCAATATTTGTGTTGAAAAGTAACTGTAGGGACATCTTATCTTGTTGCAATGAGTATTATTTATCCAAAAAGGTTTTCTAGATTATACACAAAAGTGAAAATATGGAAACAAACATGATTGAAGGTCAATAACTTATGAATGGAGGCGATTGATGATTCCAATCATTTCAATTATTTGTAGATCTCGTATTAATGATCAAATGGGACGGTCAAAGTTTCAGTGTATTTATCAATGATTGCGAGATATTATGTAAAAATACTAAATTTGTCAAAAATTATCATATAAGGGCAATAACTCTTAAAAAGAAAATTAATTGATTTTGTCATACAAATCTTTTTTTTTTATTAGTTTTCTTTTATATTTACAATAGTTTCTACCAAAACGCAAAAATATGTAAAAACAATCGTCATATAAAGGTCGACAGCAGCATTCAAACATATCTTGTTGCAGTCATGAGTAAAACGATGGGTGCCACGTGTGAAATAAAATCTTTTAAATCTTTTGGACCACAGGAGATCACCCCGGTTAGTTTTCAGGGTTCGTTCTGCTCAGTCTAGTTTGTCATGGCTTTGTATGTCTTTCTGCTACTCATGATTTTTTATTGTTCTCTAAGAATCCTCCGACTCATTTTGATTTACCTTTAGATCTTGACTTGCTACAAATTTTTGCAGGTTAAATAGTTCCCTCTATCTATCATAGTTTTAAAGTTTAGATTTAACGGCAAAAAATGGTTAAAATCGTAATTAAAGGGCAACATTCCTTATATTTCAATTTTGCCATTGTGAACTTTCCATTTTTTTGTTTAGCATTATTCTGTATTGCCTGCGTATTGATCTACCTGAAATGTAATTGCAGTGTTTGAGTTTCCTTTCATGATTTTTATGGACGGTTACTGCCAACATACAAGCTACTGAACGAAGATTTACAAATGGTTCTGTGTTTTAAGGACGCCAAACGTATTTGGTTGACTTGTTTGAATTGTGTTTTAAGGGTGCCACATATGACCACTGATATCTTGCAGCTGTCCTAGTCACAATTTAGTCCTATTTCCTGGATTTTGACTTATTACTAAACTGGTACTTGCCATTAACAGCTGGACGAATGGTATTAGTGGAGCAGGGAATGTGTACCCTTCCCGCGCCACCTGTGCAAAGTTCAACCCCTAATTTTGGTGGAATCCTGTTCCTCACTCTATACTCTGTGTCGTGTTTTGTGGATTAATGTGTCTTTCATTCGTTTTTTTTTTCTTTTCAAAGGTCACGGTTTTGTAATTTTTCGACTAATGGTTTTTAATTGGTCCATGGAAATTAAGTCTTTTGTTGAGATTTTGTTTTTAATATAAACGGCGTTAAAAATGTAGCTAAATGTACAATATGTCCTTTGCAATGGTTAATGTGGATCAAATGATTTGTCGGTATAAGGCCTTGGGTTTTATTTGATTTTGTCAAAACTATGTTTCAAATGGGCATTTGAGATCAAAAGTATCAATTTCAATAAATCAACGAAGTACAGGCCATCACAACTCACAATTCTGTATCATAAGTTCATGTTTTTCTTTTTTAAAAATAAGGGTTAATAATTACCACAATCATTGTGATCAGCAAAAGTAAAACACGAAAATTCGTGGTTCCAAAAAAAATATTACATTTAATTAAATCTTTAAGAAAAAACCTCAGAATAATACTTTGTTTGCTATTCTTGACAAAGTTAATTGTATTTAATATAAATGCAGTATACTTACATGAAATGTAAACAAATCGGCTTTTAATGTACAGGAATATGCACATTTAAATACGCTGTCCGATTTTATTGCGTATGAACTGTTTGGGAAATATTGGTTTAAAGCTTTATTTACATCCTCACTTGTATTCATCTTGACTGATACATCCAGGCAACCTGAAACAAAAATAAAAATGCACTATATACATGTAAACAGGTATAAGAAAATTTATTTACCTGTTTGTTTTCACAATTATGTGACAATATCTTTTGAATAGTTCAAAGATATAAGAGGCTTAATGTTTCTTTACAAAACATGCAAAACCAATGTTATCAAAACACGCAATCTTTCCACTCCAACTTCTTGTTGGAGATTTGAACTTAACATAGAAATGTAATTTATTTTGATAGCATTTCATTAAAATATATATTTTCTAGTTTTCCGTCTTTTCGAACAATTACATTTCACCTTTATTAATTTCCTATAAATCCTTTAAAAAAAGGACTAAACGAGAAGACTCTTCCTTTACTTTTGCTTTTTGTCATATCTTTTTGCACCTTCTCTATATAGGAGTTGATATTTTCAGGTTTCTGATATGCATGTTTCAGCGTTTGAATTCAATGAATATAATATTTTTATTACTAAAAACGTTTGAATCGACGGTCCTATAAACGGGAAGAAGATTCCAAGAGACGATCAAAATTCTTTGATATTGAGAAAAAAAAAACCCGACAACACCGTCACCAAGAGAAATACAACGAAAAGACAAACAACTATTAATACAACAGTTCACAGAAATCTAAAGATTAAGAAGCATATATCATATACCAAAACTAGGGAAGATCTCAGGTGCTCTGAATGTGTCAGCAGTTTCTAATCTACTAGTAACTTCATTCTTATCACTCACTTTTTACCAATACTTTGAGGTTCACTCTATAGAGGGATAAATTCATTTGAAGGAATTTAAAGAATTTACATATCAGAACCAGTTTTGTCTGATATCTTATTTAAAAAGCAAACAAGCTTGAAATGCGCTTTTAAGTCTGATTATATGAATTACAAATTTTAAATTGTAATTATAATAAACTGTTTTTGTTCAATCATTACGTCTGGTATTTTGGGAGACGAACATCAGTCTGCTGATTTCAGTTTGAAAAATTTCAAATTTTCTGAATCATATTTCTAAGCAAATTTACACTGTGCCTTTTTAAAATCTTGTCTTCTGGCACTGTTCACAAGTTTGATATATGAAATCTACTCCAAAGTGCAGACGGTGAATTAAGAGCGTAGAACTGCATGATTCTAATACCAGGTAGACTATTTTAGCTTGCTTTGAGTAACTATGATAATTTATGTTATGAAATGAAATATTATTGTGTTGGAGGTGATTTTTTTCTGTTATTATAAAGTAAGTTGTGTTTATATACTTATCTTTATTGTAAAATCATTAAAGTTGCATTTCCCCCGCTGATCGTTATTAAAGGATAGTGTAGAAAGCACCCACAAAAAAGTTTTAACACGAAACAATTCCATATACTTTCCAGGAAAGTCTTCAGGGATTGCATTTTCCTCTTTCATAATAGGTATGTCATTCAGATAGTTATTTTGATGAATTATTTTTGGCATGTTGAAGACCCTTGTCGACCATTAGATATTTGTTATTTTTCCGTATTTGATTAAATGTTTCATTTACTATTTCTCGCATATCATTTTAATCATATTTGAATACAGGCTCATTAGGATGTACATTTAGCCGTTAGTGCTGCTTTGTACAAAGGTAGATGTCGGAATACGTCAATGATGCAGATAACAAACGACAAAAACAATCAAAAAGACATCTAGGGGGCAACATACAGCCATCAGCAATAGAAAGATGTCTATACAACAAAGCAATTAGTTTTTTGTACTTTTTGCAGTTTTGCATAAGCAACACGGCGGGTGCCACATGTGGAGCAGGATCTGCTTACCCTTCCGGAGCACCTGATATCACCCCCAGTTTTTTGGTGGGGTTCGTGTTGCTTAGTCTTTAGTTTTCTATGTTGTGTCATCTGTACTATTATTTGTCTGTTTGTCTTTTTATTTTTGGCCATGGCTTTGTCAGTTTGTTTTCGATCTATGAGTTTGACTGTCCCTCTGGTATCTTTCGTCCCTCTTTGGTAAAACGGGTATTCATTTTGAAGATAGACCATGATTTTTTTTAATTGCCGGGGATTTGTCTTTTTTTTATGTCAAACATTGTAATAGTCCGTTTGGTCACAAGTGTTTCATGGACTATGTGTATTCGTGTGCACATATAGTATTACATAAATCTGGATATTGACAAGAAACAAGCGCAGTGTTAAAAATTTCAACAGAATAGATTCGCATCCACTCGCAGTTTCATTTCCTGAAAAAAATATATATTAATATTGTATTTTGTCCGTTGGTCATTAATCAAATTAAATTATAATTTACAGTATTTTCTTCTAATACAATTAGTAGACTGAAAAAAGATTCTTTTAATAATCTTTAAATTATATTTTGGTTTTTTTTTATATGACTATACCAAAATACCATAAAAAGATGTCCAATCGGATGTAAGATTTCGTGACGACGTCCATGCAATAAATGTTGCAGGTAGCTCAGTATAAAGTCTGTTCGTGTACATGATGTAGCTTACAGATGGAACATGGCAGATCTTCTGGGCATCCTCCCATGATACTGTAATGCAAAACATTCTATCAAAATTAGTGCATATCGTATTTGTGTTTACTTTATAAATATGTAGAAAATGAATTGTGTTTTTATCTCGATGAGACACGATATCAACTCCAAACAAATAAAATGATTATGATAATAAAATTTTCATAAAAGCTTCTAATGAAAAAATCATTGCTAGCAGGCTTTTTACGTGTTATACTTTTCTGATCCTCAAACATATCTATAATAACCACACATGACATAGCTTATAATAACCTTGATGACTAAGTATCTCAGTAAAATAAGAGGTATGATCAAAAACGTTATCATGGTTATTTGACTCAGGAAATTGCAAAAAAAGTACACTTATTTAAAATTAAATAAATGAACAGGTTGCTATACTATTAAAACTTAAGTGTAGAACGGTAACTTGCGATGGTATTATAACGAATTTGAATATTTGACCTATGATTGCCATTTTACGTATAATTTTTGGTCAAAATATATATGAGCGACATCTTTACGCAAAAAGATATCCTAAATTAACATCTTTGAGAGGTACATTTTGAAACAAAATATTTTTTAACGGGCGTAACGGTATCCAGGTTGCTAAAAGATGGTTATTAACTTGATCTGTTGAGTTCCTTGAGGTTTATATCCTTGGAGCCGCTATAACAATATATATAATACGTAAGGATGTTGTTCGAGGACACAAGTACATTGACATAAACTGTGTAACTGTTAAGAAGTATACAAAATTTGTCACTGTTAGTGTGGCGACAATTTATAGATCTGCACTACATACATGTAATAATAAAATGTGGCCATTATACAAGAAAAACTAAGCCTACCTTGAGTTGTATTGAAAACAGAATTTGTAGTCTCGATATTATTCAAAAGTAAGAAAATATTTATTACTTGATGCAACATTTCTACAAAGGCCAAGGAAGTCATTACAACCCACTTCATTTCTACGAAAAAAAACGGATATAGAAACTTTAATAATTGATCATTTTCAATTGTTATTATTATTATTGGCGCCTTTGCGAATGGTTGTATCAGGTGCAGACTATGAAAGTACTTGTCAATTGTTTTTATATTTATTATTGATTATCATTTGAAGATATTTTTTTTTCACATCACTATTAATTTATATGGAGAAAAATAATTTTAAAAAATTGGATCTTCTATATGAATTACTTAATATATAGAAGTTTAATATTCTTCTGGACCGTTATGTGCTGCAATATGAATAATTCTTTTGTTCATTGTAATAACAAAGATAACAAAAACCGTATACTGTTGTTTTTTTGGTTTTTTTTTTTTGGGGGGGGGGGGAGGGGGGAAGGGAGTGGGGGTTCGATTGCAATCTAATGACTTCACAGTGAATATTAAAAATAATTTTTATTCATAATTTCAAATGAAACAAACCAACTACGTTTGATTTAGATTATCTATTACTTTTGAATTTAAGGGATGGCCATACTACCAGACAAAATTCATGACAGTGGAAGGTCGACTTTAAATATAGTGAAATTTAGGGGTTCTTCGAGTTTAATCGTTTCCTCCGTTACCGTGAATTTGTTTCGGCAGTAATATATGTAGAACAAACCTTTTTAGGACTAAAATAAAATATCTTTCATCCATATTATATTCTTTGAATAATAGCTTTTAAAATGAGAACTCTGGAAATTGAAAATCGGCTTCCAGTACAGCAGCCAATCTCAAAAGAAAATAACAGTTTATAAATTTCGTACGTCCGTAACGCTTCATTGGTTTTACCTTTATCAGGAACGCTCAAACCCAGATATTTGAAAGCGAGGAATATCTAATTACGTAGAAACGTTAGGAACTATACATGACCAACTTTGCTTGAGGGAGTTGGAACCTTACTTTCTTGGTAATTTCTTAAATTATATGATATAAGAGTGTAAGACAACACGATTTATATATTAGCAGGTACAGACTTGAGTTTGCTGTTAGTAATTGCAACAACTATTTGGTACATCAAGTTTTTTAATAATTGTTTCTGACATGTTTTCAATCATAGTTGTGCATGTATTGTCAAGTTAAATATTCTTTTCTTAACTGATTTGCTATATCACCGTGTAGAACGCCACATGCGGGGTGTTGGCTATGTCTAACCAGGGCTGGCGGTTTTGAAGCGGAGAAAAAGCGGTAAGTAAAAGTATCAAAAATTATTTCTTTTTTGAGAATTGTTAGCACCAAAAAATGCATTGTACGGAAGGAACCAAACCATAATTTAGTTCCATCAAACAGAATCAGACATTTGCAGTGCTTCGTTTTCTCAAACACCTCTCCCTAGTTTTCCGTGTTGCAGATTTTGAGACTTCATATGCAAGTTTCAGGATAAAAAAACTACTTTTGGCGATTTTTGCACGTATGATTTATATAGAAATGAATTCCTATCATAGAATTAAACCAAATACCAGCTTTTAACTCAAAATTTATTGTTTTTTTCGTCGAAATGTTATGTGTCGTGCGTCAGATCCCGGGTGTCAGATTTTGTAGCTCAAGGGGTTGAGGCATTGATTAAAAGAAGGATAGATTTGGCCCATATTTTAGTTTTTTTAGTAATGTGGTTTTAATGTTAGAAATAGAGAAAAAGACTCTAGGTAATTTTTTTTTATACCTGAACATCATTTGTTTTCCTTTTCATTTATTATCATGGTCAGGAAGAAGTCACGGCTATGGTTAAATACATCAAAACATGGAGCAAACTCAAATAATGAGCAGACCTCCGTATAAGATTTGCCCGAAGCCGAAGCACCAACACTTTAACTTCATAAAATTTCTTCACCAGTTTTCTCTACAAAGCACACGTGCACGCCGCAAAATGGACTTACTCCTAAACGAATTCGCTTACTCACTCCACAGAAAAAAACAACGGAATCTATATTTACAAATGGTAATAACGCTACAAGAAGACCATGAGAAGATGACACATCAATTTTAAGCGATTTGAAAACAGCAATTAAAAATCTAGGAGAACATAATCTGGCGACTGATTTTCTTTCATGTATCCAAATTATATGTAAAAGAAAAACAAATTCCCATTAGACAATATTTCTTTTCTTCTTTTCCTTGTGGCTTGCATAGCTCAATGCTATAATATATGTATGAACGAATATAATAGATAATACAAGTATCAAAATATGCAGCTGCATTTCAATTTCAATGACCATAGAAACAGATGTATGCCAATAGTTATCAAAGGTACCAGGCTTATAATTTGATACGCCAGACGCGCGTTTCGTCTACATAAGACTCATCAGTGACGCTCAGATCAAAATTGTTAGAAAGCCAAACAAGCCAACATGATCTATCTTTATACTTTCTTAAAGGAAAAGAATGTAAATATAGATGCCAGTGAGTATTTCTGTGGAGTGAGTAAGTAAATGTTTCGGAGTAAGTCCATTTTGAGAAAACCGGTGCAGAAATTTGATGAAGTTCATGTGTTGGTGGCTTCGGCCTTCGTCAAATCTTACACGGAGATCTACTCTGCATGTGGTTTTGCTCCATGTTATGGTGTCTTAAGCCATTTCTAACATTGAAAATGCACATTACTCAAAAAACAAGAATATAGGCCAAATGAAATACCTAAGTTTTGTGATGAGTCATCATAACAGAGTGGGTGTGTTTGAATTACAAACTATCAGAGAAAGACCGAATTATAGGCAAATTTATCCTTCTTTTAATCAATGCATCATCCCCTTGGGACGAAAAATCTGACACCCCGCACGCCACATTATATTTCGATGAAAAATTTACTTTAAAACCAAAAAATTTTGGGTTCGAAGCTGGCATTTGGTTAAATTCTATGATAGGAATTCATTTCTATATAAATCATACGGGTGAAAATAGCCAAAAGTAGTTTTTTATCCTGAAACTTGCATATGAAGTCTCAAAATCTGCAACACGGAAAACTAGGTAGAGGTGTTTGAAAAAACAGAGCACTGGAAACGTCTGCTCCTGTTTAATGGAAATAGATAATGGATCGGTTCCTTCCGTCCAATACATTATTTGGTGCTAACAATTATCAAAAAAGAAATTTTGATACTTTTACTTACCTTGAACGGTTCAAAACCGCCACCCCATGTCAAACATAGCCAACATCCCGCATGTGTCGTTCCACACGGTGTATATGTATACGTTCAATACACCTTTGTTAATCCTTTTCCACTGGTTGACGTAAAAAAGTTGGAGTTGAGTGGAAACGATTCATCACATTTTTAAAAAACATTGTTGTGACGTCATTCTATTCTTGTACGCGTTCTTTATTTCAGTGATTGGACTATCATTTACCTGTAAGAAACCATGATGTTGCCTTAACTGTCCAATATTTTAAAGAATAACCCTCCTCTTTCTTAAAAAATATTGGACAGCTGAAAGGAGCATAATAGATTCCTACAGGTAAATAATTGTTCAATGACTGAAATAAAATTCATCAATTCACACAATTTGTTTCAGCATTTTGAAAAAAAAAAATGACAACGAAAGAACAAATGATAATTACACAAAATCATTTTTTTATTAACGTCATGTTCCAATACCATGATTTCGTTACTCATCAAGACGATTTCTATTTAATTGATTTAAACACAGGCAGCGTCAATACTTATTCACGGCCATTTTTCTCATGTTTTGGTTTGTCTCCTTTAGCACCAATTGTGTTGACAATGCTCGTTTGTAAGTTTTGTTTTTTGTTTTTTGTGCTTTTAGATTTTTCTTTTTGCACAAGTTTTTTTATATCCTTGTCCGACTTTGGACATACAAATCAATTTCTGTGTTGCTTTTATTCTTCCTTACAGCATTTTCAGCAACAATAAAAATAAAAAAAATAAAATGATGCTTCTAATGCTTGATAGATAATGCCGCAATACGAGGACCACAAGTAAAATAACTTTATTATTACAATTAGGAGAAAACCCGTTCATCTGAAGTAGATGATTTACCAAGTGTTGATGTGCAAGCCACAACTTATTCCTTAGACAAAATAGCTAATCAAGAATTTGATTAACAACCTAATATTGAGAGTTTGTTTGCTCTGTGTTGAAGGCCTCACTGTGATGTTGACATGAAGAACAGCAATAAAGGCGCTGTTCCTTTGCTTTTTGTCTTTTATTTTTGCTGTGCATATACTGATTTTGTGTCATGGATGGATACCCCATATCCTTTCTTTTCTATTAACCTCACTCTGTGTATAAAGTGCAAATCTTGCTTCAAGAACTAGGGGCTACAAAAGTTTTATAATTTGCAGGTGATGGCGTTGATTTGCAAGATTTAAACAAAATGATATCATTGTCTGTAAAGGAATATAATGCAAAACTTCACTTATCAACGACGATGAATATAAGTAACAGAAAAAGGAACACGTAACCGCAGGTTAAAGAAATCAATCGTGTGTCCGATTCGCACTTTGTTCGTAGTGGTATTTTTTTTTTATCAGAAACCGATGAAGTCTAAAGAAATTAACTAAACCTACGTGCTAGATTAATTATTTATGTTTGTTAAATATGTGTTTAGACAATTTGTAATTGCGTTGTATAAATTTGAACATAAATTCCTTTCCTGCATTTAATTTATTGAAACGTGGGAGTTATTAATAAAGGTATTTTACTGTATATAACGTCAAAATACGTATTAAATTTGTTTCTTTCCAATGTATTTATGAACAGTTACAAACACTTTAATTTAGATTAGATATCAATAGTAAATTTGATTGAATACAATAATTATACATTAAGCACAGAGACAAGGATATGTACACTTACAATGCTTTGTTTTGAAAGAAAAAAAGAAAGCGTTATTTGCAAAGGGAAATCGAGGTACAAAAATATATTTCGGTAATATAAAAAAAAACACACACAAAAGACAGCAAAACACAAATAAACTTAAAAAAAAGAGC